TTCGGAGAACTGGCAAATCCCTCCTCTGACTGGCCTCACCCCCATCTCTTCTTTGCCTTCCAAGTCCCAGCTGATGGGCTGGGTCTTCTTTGGTTGCCCTGCACAGGAGAACGGAACTGGAAAGCAGGTTAGTGGGGTGGGGAGGGAATGGGGATTTTGCAGTATCCTTCCCCTGCCACGCCCACCAAGCCATGCCCACCAAGCCACATCAAGCCCACCAAGCTACACCACGCCCACAGAACCTGTAGTAAACAATTTTGAATCCCACCACTGCTTTACAGGCATTGTAATGGGCGGCAAATAAATTTCATAATAAATAAAATGACATCATGACATACACGATTCCAATCACATCATGTAGTTAGTTTTTATAAGGTCGCCAATCTCAAAATCATGACTTTGAGCAGGAAACAATATTCAAAGAAAATATAAAAATGGTTTAAAAAAAAAACCCACACTGAGAAAAACAGAAAAACAACACACAGAGAAATTAGCAGTTGGAGTAAAACCACCCATCTATCGCAAGTCAACATAACCACACCTCCTGGTCTCCAGGCCTGGTAACACAACTGCTTCTGTCCTGATGCAACTGCTGAACAAAAACAGCATGTGTACTTTGTGATTTTAACCCTTGTACTTGTTGGCTGCGTTCATACGGCACACTTAGCCAGATCATCGATCAGCTCAGCAACCGCATGCACAAATGTAAAGCTTCATTAGAGATAAACCTGGTTGATTGTACAACCAAGTGTATGGTACAACACAGGATATCTAGTTGGTTTATGCTTCTATGCCCAGGAAAGCCAGAAAACGGCTTAATAAACCAGGCTAAATATTTTGTGTGAATCAGATAGATAAAGAGAGAAATGAAATCATTCAGCAAGAACGGCCACAATTTCGGGCTTGGAGGAGGCCCAAGAGCATTTAAGGCTATTTTATATCATCTTCTTACCTTGGCATGCAAAGAGAAGCAACAAAAATAACTACCTATTCGGTTCAACCAAGGGGGAGTCAGTTTTGTGGATTTGTTAAAAGTGCTGGACCAAAACTGTAAGTTCCTGGATACCCAGGGAGTAAATTTGGGCTACTCATGTTTTCTTTAAACATAATCTCTCTCCTGACTGCTGCTGACCAAAAGCACGACACTGTGCTGTCTGAAGCTACCAAGGGAAAAGCAAGCTCTCCATTTAATATACAAATACTGTATAGAGCCATGGGGGAGGGGGGAGATAATAAATTAAGAGCCCCAGTCTGTGCCTACAGCTGTGCGATGACGGGGAGAGCTTCCCAGAAGCCTCTCCATCCCTTTGGAGCCTGAAAAAGCGGGGATGAAGAAGGCCCAGGGCTTCCTCCCTTGAGGCCTAACAGGCAAAGCCACAATCCGGAGGGGTGTGTCTCTTGTTGCACAAGTACCGAAGAAGAGCCAACCACACTTCTCAGCTCTTACATGGGAGGGGAGTGAAGCCAAGCCAAGCCAAGGGGAGCCCCCTGGCAATTGGTAGGAAAAACACTGAATATTTCCTTCTTTACTATTACTGTTACTATTACTATCAATCTTCTCATCACTCCTTATCACCCATCCCCTCCCACTTGTGACTGGATGACTATAACTTTGCCGCTTGTATCCTCACGATTTATATGGACTGTTTCCTAGTATGATTTGATTGCTTATTGCACCCTATGACTATCATTAAGTGTTGTACCTGATGATTCTTGACTCTTGATGAATGTCTCTTTTTTTATGTACGCTGAAAGCATATGCACCAAGACGAATTCCTTTTGTGTCCAATCACACTTGGCCAATAAAGAATTCTATTCTATTCTATTCTATTCTATTCTATTCCATTCCATTCCATATTCTATTCCATTCCATATTTTCTATTCTATTCTATTCTATTCTATTCTATTCTATTCTATTCTATTCCATATTTTCTATTCTATTCTATTCTATTCTATATTTTCTATTCTATTCTATTCCATATTTTCTATTCTATTCCATTCCATATTTTCTATTCTATACTATTCTATTCCATATTTTCTATTCTATTCTATTCTATTCTATTCTATTCTATTCTATTCTATTCTATTCCACTCTACTCTACAGTATGCAGCAGCTGCCAAAAAAAAAACTTTGAACGGTCACTAAATGAACTGCTGTAAGTCGAGGGCTATCTGTATTATCCGAGTCGGTATAAAGAGACCATGCCCAACCTGTGGTTGAAGCTCGCTTTCCTTCTTTCCACCAAGGGCTGCACAAGTTTACCATCACCGAGAGATGATAGATATTTCATTTAACTTCATTAACAATTCATCCTACTTCTACAGTAAAATATAAAACGTCAGGATAAAAATGCTTTTTAAAAAAACAACAACAGCAAGATACCAAACATTCTTAAGACTGGTTGCATATTCTGTTTGCATATGGGCAAGTAGGGCTGGCTTCCTTTAAAAGCACTAATTAAAGAGCCTCAATTAAGTTATCTGTTGCCTCCTTGCTTGAAAGCTTCCCTCTGAAATTTAGCTGACACAGCAGTTTAAATGATACCTTACCAATCTCAGGAGCAATGTTGAAACACCTCCCGGACCTACACACTGAATTTTCTCCTTTATTTATTTCATTTATATGCCGCCCTGTCTCACTACTGAAGCAATTCCAGGCAGCTTACAAAATGATATGGGGGGAGGGGGGGGAATGAAACAAAATCAACAAGGATTAAATAAAATCCATTATCTGGATTTCCACAATCCAATCAAACTGTAAATTCGTTGTACGCACATTAAGCCAGAGGTTCCCAAACTTGGCAACTTTAAGACTTCAATTCCCAGAATTCTCCAGCCAGCATACTGGGAGTTTAGTTTTAGTTTACTTTATTGTCATTGCACCTCATTACAGCGAAATCAAACACCATCTTCAGTGGACATCATGACCATGAAAATAAACACAAACACACATCCTTCACCCTCCACACATTGAATTGAAAACCCGAAACACCACATCAACACTGCACTACACAGTAGAATTCAACAGAGTTGTTGCCGTGGGATAGAAGCTGTTTTTCAGCCTATTTGTCCTTGTCTTTATTATCCTGTACCGTCTGCCAGATGGTAATAGTTCAAAAAAAGGGTTCCCAGGATGAGATGGATCTTTGAGAATGTTTTGAAGTTGAAGTCCACAAGTCTTAAAGTTGGCAAGTTGGGGACCCTGCACTGGTTAAGCGATGAACAACTAATCCAAGTGAACACTAGCCACACTCAAGGTTTAACTATGATTTGCTGATTAAACTTCCGTTACTAAGCCATAAACTTTAGTGTCAATCTCAGCGGGGTTGTTGTTCACATTGTATATAGCATAACCTGTGAATCCAGCCTTTGTTTAAATGAAGGGAGAAATAACATTTAAAATGTAGAATAATACGGTTGAAAGAGACCTTGGAAGTCATCTAGTCCAGCCCCCCTGCTCGAGCAGGAGATTCTACACCAGAGGTCTCCAAACTTGGCAACTTTAAGACTGGGAGTTGAAGTCCACAAGTCTTAAAGTTGCCAAGTTTGGGGGGACCCCTGCAACTGCACGAAGAGACAAACAACTAACCCAAGTAAAAAGTAGCTACACTCAAGCGAAGCGCGGGGGTTTCAAAAGGATGATCCGTGTGAAAAAAAAAAAAACCGTTTCAGGGAGCGTGCGCTACACGAGCCAAGCAAATTGGTCGCCCAAGGGCAGAAGCGCAGCGCGTCGGGACCGGTCTTTTCTCGTGTCTATAAACCCGGTATTTCAAGAGAGCGCACACACGCCCCTCGGTCCGCGCGTGTCGGGCATGCCCGTGCTTGTTAGGGACCAGCGATCGACCAACTAAGCCCGAATCCCTCCGAAAGCAAAAAGAGGAACGTCGGGCGTCCTCCGGCTGCACCGCTCGGTCTCTAGGATCAGCCCCCCCATGACCCAGATCCAGCTTCCCGCAGGCACAAGGGCCGACTTTTGATTCGGGATCCGGGGGTTGGCGAGGGAGGGGGGGGCGACGGTTGTTTTTTTTTTTCCATCTCATGGGGGAAGACGACCAGGATGGCTGTGAGTTCGAGCCTTAGGTAGAGGCTAAAATATTTGGCAAATAGACTCTCCGGGGGTGGGGTGGGGTGTTGGACTAGATCAGGGGTCTCCAACCTTGGCCACTTTAAGCCTGGAGGACTTCAACTCCCAGAATTCCCCAGCCAGCCTCTTGGAGTTGAAGTCCTCCAGGCTTAAAGTGGCCAAGGTTGGAGACCCCTGGACTAAATGACCTCCAAGGTCCCTTCCAACGCTGTTATTCTATGGATCAAGCGACGCGGTGTGTGTTGGGGGGGGGTGTTTTGCGGCGCAGAACTGGATGAAGAAAGATTATATAGTGCCGGAGAAAGTGACGTTTCAAAGAGCCCCGGTAGGAGGGAAAGAGGAGCGGGGTGGGTGGGTGGGAATGGAGTCGGGGGGGAGGGGGAGGTTGGTCCTCATCCCCAGGGAGATCCGGGGATGGGTGGGTGGCGGGGCTGGCTCTAAACCTTTGCAAGCCAACGGCCCAAGCTTTCATCCTTGGCCCACCCTGAGCAACGGGAAGGAAGATCTCCACTCTCGGGGCTGGGGCTGGGGGAGAATCCTCCACTCCCACCGAGTTGGAGCATTGCAGCGCCCCGCCTGCTTGTATTGCCAGCCTTTCCGCCTCCCCCCCTTCTCCAACCCCCCCCCCCCCACACCCCGCTTGTTTTTCCTAACTCCCCATTCTCCCGGCTGATGCAACCCCATTCTGAGACATGTTCTTCCCACCAGCCCCTTTTACGCAATTCTGCAGCAGGAGCAACAACTGGAGCGCACGCCCCCCCCCTCCCCGCCCATTCCCACCCCCCACCCCCGAAAATGGCAAAGAGCGCGGCGGGACACGGACACACACAGAGAGAGAGAGCCGAGATCGGGGAGACAGCAGCAGCAGTAGCAGCAGCGCCTCTTTCTCCTCTCTCTCTCTCTCGACTTCATTTACCTTCTTGCGCCTCAAAGTTTGGCAGCCTTCGCAGGGCAAATAGCCTTCGACTCCGGCGGGGTCGCAACTCTCCGAGTCGGCGACGATCATGGTTGTCCGTTGCAGCGCGGTGGGAGCAAGGCACGGGGAGAGAAAAGCAGCAGCGGTCGGCCGCCTCCCGTCCCGTCCCTTCTCTTCTCTTCCCACCTCCCCAAAAAATCTGCTCCGGCGTAATTAAGGCAGGTCCCCTCGGAGGAGGAAGGGATGTTCCGGCGGCGGCGGCGGCAGCCCAGGGAAGAACGCCCGAAAGCGGCAGCCTCCCAGAACGTCCAGGGGCATCGGGGGTCTTCCGGAGTCCAACTCCTCCGCTCCCTGCGAAAGCCTCCCCGCCGCTCGCTTCTTTCATACTGGGGAGAAGCGGCAGGGAGGCGCTAAGAACACGGCGAGGAAGCCTCGGCACCCCGCCCTCCAGCCAATCGCGTCGGAGTAGGCGGAGTTCTTGCTGTAAGCGAGGCGTCGCCCCCGCCCCTCCGAGCTTCTGCACCAATGGAAGGGGGTGGGGTGGGGAAGGCAACGCGCTTGGGGGCATGGGAAATGTAGTCCCCCACTCCTGATTTGTTTATCTCAGGGGGGGTCTTGACAGCTTTAAGACTGGTGGACTTCAACTCCCAGAATTCCTCCTCCAGTCATGTTAGCTGAGGAATTCTGGGAATTGAAGTGCGCAAGTCTTAAACGTGCTAAGTTTAAAGACCCTTGGTTTATCTCTTTAAGGCAGGGGTTCCCCAAACTTGGCAACTTTAAGGCTTGTGGACTTCAACTCCCAGGATTCCTCCTCCAGTCATGTTAGCTCAGGAATTCTGGGACTTGAAACCAGCTGGAGAATTCTGGGAGTTGAAGTCCACAAGCCTTAAAGTTGCCAAGTTTGGGGACCCCTGCGGTAAGGTCTCTCTCTCTCTCTCTCTTTCTCTCTCTCTCACACACACACACACACATTCACCTGTACCATGCATGCTGGTGCGGAGGGAATCTGTGATTGTGGTTGTGTTGGTGGTGGGGGAATAAATCCAACGAATAAATAAAATACGACCCAGCTTTTGTACTATTTCTATTGAAAGGATCTAACAATCTGGTTATAAATTCAGCACAAAATTTCTTATACCACTGAAATGTCTTAGTTAAATTTTTGAAGCAGGAGTAAAATCTACATCGGTTCATTGTGTATGAAGCACACTGAATCTCATTCAGCTGGCAAAATTATCAAAAAGAGATGTGGTGGCATGATTAATTGTGATAAATTCTGCAGTCTTGCGTACTCTAACCACCAGGGGGGAATGTGCTGGACAAACTCATCAAAGATCAAGGAAAACAATTATGTGGAGCAAATCAAGCTGGTTCTCCACTAGATACCATAATCACTCTCATTTAAGCAAAAAATCTAGAATATCCTTAAAATCTTAATGGAAAATAATATGTAGAATTACTCAGCATTGAGGTCCATCCATTTATCATAATGGACTGACACTTTAGTATACATATCTTTGATTGCAATTTGGGGTAATATTTCCAAGAGTGTGAGCTTTTAGATTTGTAAATGAAACCTAATTCAGAAACAATAAAACCTCCATTCTGCCTTTGGAGGGATACTGTAGAATGAAACCAAAATGTTGCAAATGTATGTAGTATTAACAGAATAATAGTGAGCAAGTTTGGTCTAATGTTTAAATTGCCAGGCTAGAAATCAGGAGATTATGAGTTTTAGTCCTGCCTAACCCATGAAAAACAGTCGGATAAATTTGGGGCAGTTTCTCTCTCTCAGCTCGGTTTACCTCAGCATTGTTGTTGTGGGGAAAATAGGAGTGTTAAGTATGTTTGTCACCTTGAGTTACTTCTAAAGCAGGATTTTAAAGAAATCAAACATATCTAGGATTGTGCTATTACTCCAATAAACCCAAAGAGATAAGGCAACACTATCATAAATACACAAAGGAGAATCTCACTGCGCAATATATTTATTTCTGGGGCAGGAAAACAAAAACAAAAACGATTCTTGCAGTGATCCAAGTTATTGACACATGCAAGAAGAATCTGGCATCTGTACGTCATCTGTGCCAAGTTTAAAATCTGGTCAACAGATATTAAAATGTCATTTGAAGCAAAAGGCATCTATAGAGAACAGTTTCAATGTAAGCTGCCAGTGAGATGCCATTAAGTTACCTTTTCAAAAATACAATACTAGTTGCCTAATGAGTATAAACTTATCTATGTTTAAAAGCAAGCCTTGCTAAGTTGGATAGGATTTATTAGTATTAAATGCATATCATTGCATTACATGCTGATCTAAGGTTGTAATAAAGCTTATAGTACAGTATACTATATTAAAGAATTTAATTGCCAATCTTCAAGATTTGGGGAGAAACATACACCTTCAAGATGTCTGCTATAAGATTCAGAATTTCAATGCAGAATAATATAGAAAATGTTTATTATGGTTATATTCTGATAATATGCCAACTCATGGTTAATCTAAATATAGTTTGCTCAATAAATTGTCTGGATTTGCACAACAATAGATTAATCACACAGACTGGATGCTTGATAGAGTTGAGCTTTGTTTGACAATTTGTGATTTGGGGCACTGTGTGAACAGTCTTATTCTTAACACAGAATCAGCCTAAACCACAAAAATTACCATTATGGGAAAAGGCTAATATTTACTCCAGAAAAGTCCACACAAACCCATCAATCTGGTTTCTACTTTTTGCTTGGATGACTTTGTTTCACAAATCAATTTAACAATTGCAGGTAAGGTGGACTATTCTGTCCCTCCTGTGCATGCCTTGATGACCTTCAGCTAGACTCCATCATATAAACACCCTGGAACAATAAATGGACATTTCTGGCTTAATATTAAGGGCCAAGTTGGATTGGATGCTCCCTTGGTCTAGGTTGGCTGCTGACTTGCTCTGAATTGAAAAAACTGTCCTATAGTTTAAAACCTACTGAGTGTGGTAACATAGGATTTGAAGATCTGTCCTCATCCTATAGGAAGCCTATGTCGCATACTGGGATTTTTCTCTGTGACATGCCACCCTTGAAAATATAGCTGGCAGTGAGAAAACAGGGCCTTTTTAGTAATTGTCATCATGTTCAGTGAGTTCTCTATTCTCTCTCCCCCTCTTTTTTGAATAGAACACCAGTATCCTTCCTTCCTTCCTTCCTTCCTTCCTTCCTTCCTTCCTTCCTTCC